TAAGGAACCCCGTGATTTTCTCCGACCCTAAGGGTTTCCTCCCAGCCTGGGGTTACAACCAAGGGCCTTTATTTCACTTTTTGGGAAAGGGGGGGAAGGGGGGGAGAAGGGAAAATGGGGAGATTGAGTATTTGCTTCTCTTTCACTTCCATTTTACCTTGGCTTTTCTGCTCCTTCCTCCTTCTCCACCTCCTCCTCTTCTTCTCCCTGCTCCCTCGTGTGCGATTTCCGGGAGAGGAGAAAATTTCCTTCCCCCGCCACCAGAGAGTCAAATTCCCATAGGCCTATATCCCCCCCTAAAAACACTGAAGACAAAAAAATAATAATAATAACAACAAGGACTTTCAATCTCCCCCCCCTTCCTTTGCTCCAACTTCGTCGTCTTTATCTCTCTCTCTCTCTTCTCCTCCTCCTTCGGTCTTTTATTTCCTCTCTTCTCCCTCTCGTTCGGGTCTATTAGTATCGGATGAGAGAAAAAGAAAAAGGAAAAAAAATGCAGGATTAACGCATTTGCAACATATTTATCAAATGGTGGAGGGGGGGAAGGAGGGGGAAGGGGAGGGGGGAGCGAGAGGAAGTGGGGGGGAAAGGGGGAGAAAGAGGGAGGGGGGGGTCCCCAAGGCCTCTCCCCCGCCAGCCTCCTCCCTTTGAGTGGGGGAGGAGGGGGGAGGGGGAAGGGGAGGGGGAGAAGGAGCAAGGGGGAGAAAAGTGGGAGAAAGGGGGGGAGGGGTGTGGTCGCCATGGCAACGTCCCCCCCATTGTTTACCGTCAAGGGGGGGGTGGCGAGGGGGGTCGGGGGATCAAGAGGAGGGGGGGGGAGAAGAGCCTCCAAATGTTGCCTTTATTCCCGTATTTATTCCCGTCCACTTCTTCTTCCTCCGTTCGTGGAAATGGCCTGGGCGCGTCCTCTGGGCCTCGACCCCGCCGCCAAAGTCCCCGGCGGAGGCCCAGGGGAAGGAAAAGGCCCCAAAACCGCCATGCAAACGAGGCCTAAAACCCTCGTCCAAGCGACACTCCAAAACGACCAAATTCTCCCCGATTTCTCCCTCCAAAGACCATATTTACCTGGAATTGTCGCATCTCACGCCTCCTAGATCCTGAAGGCGCTACACAGGAGACCGGATAGAAGCGCTGAGAGGCGATCGGGACATGTAGGAAGAGCCCAGAGCACGAAATAGTCTCGGGTTGGGAATGGCGGCGGCGCAACGATAAATGCTCAGCGACGCCTTAGTGCACACGCTCGCCCCGGCCTCCGACACCGCCATGTTTGGCTTTTGGCGGCCTCTGCGGGCTTTCTCGGGCTTTTTGGGAGCCTAGGGGGACGGTGGGAGGAATGGCTTTGCTGGGGGATGGAGACTTGGGTGTTTATTTGGCATGTAGGGAGCAGGGTGGGGCGAAACGAGGGTCCGGAGTTAGGGAAAAGGGCATGGAACTTAGGGTACTCGGCCATGTTTGGTCGCCTCCCTCGGTCTTTCGCCTTCTGATGCGTTTTTTAAGAGGGGATGGAAGTGATGCGTCGTGTTTTGAAGAGGATTGGGGACTTAGATGCTTTATTTATCTGTAGGTTAGAGCTTGAGCCGAAAACCAGGCGAAAAGGCAGCGAAAATAGCATATCATTTTGCCGACTTCTTTCAGACGGATCTGCGAGTGATTTGCGGTCATGGAGGGTCTGAATGAAGATAGCCTAGGCTGGGTTTTTGGCTCCTTTTCGGCTTATCATTCGGTAGAGCTTGCGATTTTCAGACGACTGTCCCAAAATGAAAGCTGTAAGTGCAAAGATAGCTGTGCAATATTGGGCTTTTTGGAGGGACTAGTTTGTCGCGCGCGGGAGGCATTCGTCCGCGCGCGAAGCTTGACTTGACATTTTTGGTCCGATTTTTATTTTCTTGGGTTTTCTTTTCGCATATTTTTACAGGCCTGTCGTTTTAGGAATAATCATTTGGGTTGAAAGGCGTTTTTATTATGTCTTATGATAAACGTACGAGAGTAAGACATTTAGCGGTTATTAATAGCTTGTAATTTGGTTAAATAGTAATCTGCCCTTGTTTCGTACTGCTTATAGGTACCGTAATTGTCAAATGCATTTAAATCTGCAGGCGAAAAATAGGGCCTTGGGTGAAAATACGATGAACTTTTCCCAATTAAAAAAAGTTTCGCCAGAGCTCAACAGAATCCGTAGCATAGAGAAGAGACTAAATATTAAATGAAGTAAAAGAATAGATTGATGATGTTTGAAATATAGGTTACTCTTCGATATCAACGAAGCACTCTATTGCTTCGATAAAAGGATCTTTTCACATGAAGAGATTAATGAGAGACGAATTAATTAATTGCAATGCCAAATGGTGATATCTGCCATGTCCTGCGTGCGCATCGTTTATAGGTCATGTCAAAAATCGACCAATCGCAATCGACGTAGCGGAGACGGAAGCTTTTGATTGGCTGAGCTCAAGTGACTTGTTAGGTTGAGTACAACCAATGGTATCGCTTCTGTTATCTTATGTGGTTTCTGATTGGCTGAGGTCAAGTGACTTGTTAGGTTGAGTTCGACCAATGATATCGCTTCTTTTATCTTATGTGGTTTCTGATTGGAGGAGATCCGCTGGGTAATAAAATTGAATGATTTCCTACTTGTCATACGTGTGGCCAATAGTATCATCCCCTTTTTGTCGATCTGAATTCTGATTGGCGGAAATGACGATATCTATGACCTTCACGGGAGTTTCAGTGGCAATCAGGTGTCGGGTGTAAACACAGTGTTCAGCAGATCTCCGAATTGATTAAGGTTTTCTGTCTTTCGTTTTCCTTCTTTTTTCCCTTTTATTGCAGTTGCATGTTGCACGGAGCGAAGAAGCATGAGAGGAAGACTATCACGTGAACAGATTCTCTAGAAGCTTTCAAGTGACAAGGAATTACGTCGACTGATTTCGTCGAACTACTTTGATCAGTGGAAACGATTTGTTAAAAATCATTTTAATTTATTTATTTGTCTTGTTCGATCGCGATTGTCAACATCTTTACTAATTGGATGGGTTATTATGATCTGCAAGGTTAATTATTCTTGATGAGTTTTGTTCTTGAACCATTAGATCCTATGTTTGTATTATGGTTGTGAAAATTGTAAGATTGTGACATTTTTTTTACCTCAAGAAATATTATAATGTATATCAGTGGATTTCTTTAAGCATATGTATTCAGCTATTGATTCTTACACTGCAGAAATGGCATCATGATATTATGATTGGAATTCATATATGCGTTATAGGTAATTTTCTCTGAGATCCAGTTAAAAAAAAATTTGATTTGTTTTCATGAAGTCAAGATTTAATGTGTATTTTCAGTGAATCTATTCATTGCAACGAATGTGGAAAAGGTATGAAAGACAGTGAATATCTGCAACATGCAAGGGATGTGTTTGACCTGTTTCAATTATATAAGATGAAGATCTAATCAAAAGTGACCCAAGTGTATCTCTTGTATTGAGAAGGTGTTCATTCTCATTAATGCATTTTAAAAATTATTATCAAAGAGAATTAGAAGACATGCCATATTTTCCATTAAGAAATATATTTAGTTTCCATTGTAGATCAGAAATAGGAGTGCAGAAAATAGACATTAATCCTATCATGATGGTGCCAGAAATATCCTTGTCACTCATTCCAGTGACTTCTGGCAGCTGTCTAGCCCTTTAGCCAGGAGTTCACTGCATTTAGCTGAAATTCTGCTCGACTAGGTTTAGTGCGTTGTGAAGCCTTACCCGTCATGATGAGACAGCATTGCAAATTATTATAGATATGTTGAATCGTAATATAGAAGCCTTCATTCTCAGTGTTACTGTCATTCTGCTATATATATTGAAAAGAAATTAGACCTGTTGTAAAAACTCTGAACTTTTATCTGCTGCATGTTAATCCAGTGATAGAAATAATAACTATCAAGATTTTGCACTTCTAGGGAAGTACCTAGAATTGTATTTAATGTATACTCTCTAGATAATTTGTGGCATTCATAAAGAGTTGCATTGTTAAATGATTACAGCAGCCTCTGTGCATGTTGGCCAATGGATGTTGACTGTGGGGATATAACAGTGGATACTGGGAACTGAGATCCTGTTTTCAGTTTGGTACATTTATCTCTACGGGCAAATAGGCCCTTGTTCATTGGAAAGAAAGAGAATCCTTGTTATAAACCTAGGATTCCTGAATTTTCTGGGAAGATGGTAATTTTGCAGAAATTAAATAGATATCAATCAGATAGATAAATAGATTAGATAGATAGATAGGTAGATAGATAGATAGGTAGATAGATAGATAGGTAGATAGATAGATAGATAGATAGATAGATAGATAGATAGATAGATAGATCATTAGTTATATAATATATATATGCATGCATAGTACAGTATGCTGTAAACTGGTCACTTTAAGGCTGATTTATTATGGCAGATAAGAAGAACCAGCAGTAGTGATAGACTATTGTATATTTACTGGGGTCTGCATTCCCTAATACTTAACCCATTGCCGCTGGGGATGGCATGTACGTACATGCCATGCCCACTTTGAGCCGACTTATTCGATTGTTTTTACACATAGATGGCTACACTTGTACTAAGTATCCAATGAGCCAATTCGAGTATTGCCTGTCTCGCCCGTTCACCCTTTTCATCGATTTACGAAAATATTTAACGTTATCCTAATTTGCTGTTAAAAATAACACCATCTATATTTATAGCACTAGTAAGAATATGTTTTTTCCCGCCAATTTAAGGAAAGGTGAAATCAGGACTAGCAGAGCCATCTATGGACAGAGATATTTCACAAAAATATAAAAAATGAGTATAGTATTTTCCCCATTTTTTGTTCATTTTCCCCGGCGGCAATGGGTTAATGCAATCATGGGAAATTTTCAGAAATCTGGAAGTTCTTGGTATTTGCGAGCCTTTTTTTTTTGTTTTGTTTTGTGTGTATTATCTGCCCTATATATAGTCCCATGCAATGGGAAACACTTTATAACTTTCCATATTGATATAGACATGTGGGATACTGAGATCTTGTATTGTTTGTTAAACTCTATCTGCTTTGTATATACTGGCAAGGGTCCATCTTTCATGAATAAACATAGCGGCTGGAATGCTAGGGGTGGGCAAGTATACATCACTTGATGACATGACACTGTAGTGGCAGTGGGTATTGTTACTGCTCTGCTGACTCCTGGACCTTCATTATTTCCCTTTTAGAAATTGCTTATCAATCACTATTTCTCTGATGATATTACCTTGTAGAAATTGCTTGGGAGTCATTATTTCAAAGATATTAACATAATTTACCATTTTTCAAGTAAATTTTTAAATTTTATGTCTGCAGTTTCTTAAACCAAAATCTGCACATTAGGTTTCCTTCCTTGGCGACACTCCTAGGTGTGGCTTGTAGGTCTGGTTCACAAAAACACTCAAGTGCAGTATCAAGATTCCTTGCCTCCATTTTGCAATATCATTAGGCCTTTTTCTGCAGATGTGATTTTGCTGTTTTGCCATTGCATGATGTGTATATTTGTCATTTGTTGTGCTGCATCATGATGATGATGATAATCGCCTGTTATCGTTGAGCATACTCCATATTAGCCCACCAGGTAGTTTACACTCTGTGTAATTAGAATAACATTGTTAATTCCTATTCAGTTTCACTTTTATGGAGCCCTAAATAAGAGTGTTCTCTAATTCTTACTGTATAATCATATGATGTTCATATTTTTAATATTACTCTCTTATTATAGTCATTGTATTACGTTATTCATTAAAAATTAAATAAAATAGAATTATATTAGTAAGGCTTTTTCCCTGAAACAGATTTTTCTATTTTTTAAAAATGTAGACATGCCAGGTGTACAGAAACTTTGATGGCTTATATCTTGAAACAACATAAATTCTAAGTTTATGAAATATTTAATTTCCATTTCTATGTAAAATTGGGTTTATTATTCCTTATTTTGTTGCTCACATTTGTTGCTTCTGGAAATGCTGCCTCATTTGTCATTTTTAAGCTTTTTCTGGGTTGTTTAAAATGGGTATATATTATTGATTTTTTTTATCTGATGTATAGATAAATTGGTTTACTAGGAATATTTGAAAGCTGAAATTCTTGAGAGCTTTTCTAACTATATTATATTCATTGGCTATACTTTTTATATGTGAATTTTGAGAATGTAAAAGTTACATTGGATTTAGGTATTTATATATTGTTGTAGTGGCAAATTGTGTGATGTGTTTTTTTTATAAGCTAACTATTTTTTTTTCATATGTTTCCATTTATCATATGGTGATTAATAGCTGTACTGCATCACATTCATATTGGTAATCTACTTAAATGAAAGCCAGGAAATATCTCTGTGTGAAGAGAAAGGATATTGAGCTATCAAGAAGAAAAGAAAAAGAAAAGGAAATTATATAATTTTTTTTACTGAACTCTCATGTTATTTTGCAGTGCCAGGGGCATAGTGTAGGATGCCTCAGGAGGGGTTGGGGAGTAAGGCTGGCGGGAAAAAGCGGTCTGGCCTCCCACGCGTCCGTAGCCACACAGATGCAGAGCTCCAGTATTTTCGGGATCAAGACCATGAAAGCCTCCTTCCACACCCGTTCAGGTATGGGCCCTAGTTTTGAGTGTGCAGGTCTCTTTCTCCTTGTTTATTCTGATACTGTGGAATATTTTAGGGCAGTTTAAGGTATGCTCATTTATGTTTATTTTTTCATGGATATAATGGTAAGCGTTTGTATCTGTGTACAGTAGGAGATTCTTCTCTTTTTATTTTCCGTCAAATTGTCTGTCTCTTATGTTAAGGATTTTCATGTGGGTCACATCAACTCACTGGATCCGGATGTTTTGCTGCCCACATGTGGCACAAAATATGGGTATTACTTGAGAGCCACACTAACTGAGACTTATAGGCTGGGTGCACACAAACAGTGACAAGACACCATGCCTCCCCATTGCTGAGTTATTTTCTCTTCGTCTGTATAAGCATTTTTAGCTTTTCTTGCCATTTCCCAATGTCTATATTTGGCATTTAATTTGCCTTATCCAAACTCTAAATCATCTCTATAGATAATCCAAAACTGAGTGCAATAATAGTAACAATAAACTAAACATTTTGTTATTCGTATCAATTTATTTATTTATTTTTTTCTTTTGTAATATTCAATTTTCTGTATTACAACGTGCACTACCAATCATGGCAGTCAGGATTAAGATCCTGAGCAGGAAAATAGCATCCTCCCTTGAGCTGGTGCTCTTCTAGTCATGGCTAATGGATAGTACACTCCATACTCGTTTATTGATGGTAATAATGCAAAAGCCCTTTCCTATATGTCTACTGAGTCCAATCACCCTCCAAGAGGTTTGTGCACTCATGGCGAGTGTATTCCCGTCACCCTGGTCTTTTACCGAAATTCCAATGACAGCAAGTTCACGTCACCCCCAGGCGAATTTTCCCATGATGGCATGTTCA